GTTCCTTCAAAGCGTCATTCCCAGAGGACTGTCATTTAGCCTGTCTGGTGGTTCCCTGGAAGATTCTTTATTGTTTGTTTGTTTGTTTTGTGTTGTCATTTTTGTTTTGGGTTTTTTTTGTGGGGGTTGGTCCTTGTGCTTGTGAGGCAGGTGGTGGAACCACTGAGCTAAATCCCTGGCTGCCTGGAAGATTCTTGCAGGACTCTTTCTCTTACTGGATTGGAACCTACCAGATATGAAAAGGCTTTTCATCAGGGAAATTTGCTGGAAAAGTCTGGGAGATAAGTGATTAACATATGGCTGCCTGAGGCGGTAGGTAACCTTTGGAGCAAACAGAAGGCTAAAAAAACTAAAAAGCTAGGAAGGAGGACTCCTAAAGGTTTTGAAAAGCTCTGACCTTACAGGAGATCAGATGGTTGTGCCCATATGCAGGACTTTGCACATACTAAGGGTTGTACTTTTGCTTGGGAATAACCTAATTGCATGCTAAATGCATGTTAAATTGACTTTGAGGTCTGAACAATCGAAAAGTGAAGCCAAAGGCAGAGCTATCACCTTTCTGGCTGAGTGTGAAAAGAGTACGCCAACCCTCAGAGCCCTCAGCATTGATGGGAAGACTTACTGGTTTCAAGTAGAGAAATCTCTTTCTAATCATTAGATTATCACTAAACTACCTAAGCAGAGACTTCAGTGTCATGCATTACAAAGAATACAGAGTCTATAGTTCAGAAAAGTCACTAAAACAAAATTAAAAGCCCTAGCAAGTATAGCAAACCCTTAGCAGGAAGGTAAATAAGTATGATTTTCAGATTTACCACAAGTAATGTCCAGTTTTCCACACACAAAAAAGAAATTATGAAGCATGCAAAGAAACAAGAAAGTACATGGGAGAAAGCAATCAATAGAAACTTCTGAGGAATTCCAGACATTGAACTTCTAGACAAAAATGTTAAAGCAGTTATTTTAAATATCCCCAAAGAACTAAAGAAAAACCAAAACTAAAGAACCAAAGGAAGATTTAAAAAAATGATGTCTAGCTACATAGACAATGTTGATAAAAAGATAGACATTATATAAAAAGGGACCGGGGATTTGGCTCAGTTATTCTGCCGCCTGCTTCACAAGCACAAGGACCCAAGTTTGATCCCTGGTACAAAAAAAAAAAA